ATTTTCCGTCAGTCTGTTGTCTACCCGATGTCCAGCTTAAATCAAATCAAGGTCAAATATTCATGACATCTTGCACTGAGGTTTGTATATGAATACGAATGGTATATTCTTCGATAAAGTCATCTAGATTACCCGTGAACAGACGACCCAAACGCCTTGCAATGCCCTTCCGTGCCTTTGTAATCCCACTAAACTTTTCTCATTTCTGCAACTCTTGAGACTTGTTGCATTTCCCTTACTTCTCTCTTGCCAGAATCATCTTTTCTCTCTCTCCCCTACGTCTCTCGAATTGCTTCTTAGTATGACGACGCTCATTCTCCTCACGGCGCTTAATGCTCTTGAGCTCCTCAGCCTTAATCTCGCCGGCCTTCTTGAGGACCTTAGGCACGTGCCGGTGACGGTGAATGCGGCGAACCTCAGGCATGTGCTGGTAACGCTCGATAAGAGCCTCGTTGTACTCTAGGGCTTGTCTTTGACGAGCAGACTTGACGCCTTCGCGGCGAGAGGCGTTAGCGCGCCAGAGTCGAACGTTACCATCGTCGGATCCAGAGAGAATGTAGCGCGCATCAGGGGTCCAGCTGGCTGCTGTGACACGCTGCATGCGCTTGGTGTGGTAAATATCTCGCGAGTGACCGCGGTCTCGGTTCCAGAGACGAACGGTTCGGTCCCAAGATGCGGATACAAGCTCTTCACCAGTGGGAGACCACTCGACATCCATGACTGCCGCGACGTGATCCTTGAGAACGTTGAGAGCACGGTCAAACTTGCGCATGTCGAAGAGGTAGATGTTGTGGTCTTCAGAAGCAGCAGCCAGGTTGAAAGCCTCCATCGGGGACCAAGATAGGCGGTTGCTGGCGAACTTGAGGACTGTCTTTGTGACAGGTGTAGACGTGCGGAGGTCGTAGATGACTATGGAGCGGTCGTTGGAGCATGATCCCAGGATTGAAGTCTCGACGTGGTTGAAGGCAACGTCGGTGATGGTGTCGATAGCTGTAGGCCACTTGAGAATTTCAGGCGCAGCGGTGTGGCGTTCGAGATCGTAGATGTTGATCACACTGGAAGCAGCAGCGAACGAGTTCTTGGACCGATGGTGTGACAAGCTGGTAAAAGCACCATTTCCAAGCCATGATGATATAGGAGCCGCTTCGCTAGGTGTGTTATAAGGGTCAAATAGCTTGATCGTTCTGTCGGCCGCACAGGTCAAGAGCTTTTTATCGCGAGTCCATTCTAGACCCTTGACGATATTCTCATGAGCTGTCGCATGCCATATCTCGTCTCTATCGGCTAGGTCCCAAACCTTGACCACACCGTCACCACTACCACTTGCAAAGTGCTCAAGAGAGTTGGGATCCTTGGCGATAGAATAGACACCGTCGACATGACCCCGTCCTAGCTGGCCTACGAAAGGCTGCGCATGCATTCGCTCGAGCTTGACGGCATTGAGGGCTCGCTGGTACTCCCGTGCGCGCTCAAAAGGATGGAGGGCGGAATCGAGGTTTCGTGGTTGCTTTGTAACATCTGAGCCGGCTGCTTGTTGAGCCGACACGGGTCGGCTAAGGGCCTTGATCTTCATGTCGAATGGCCCTGTAAAGTCGAATTTACTGATTGTAGCTGTTCTCGAGGCTGGTAATTTTGGCGGGGACTGAAGCAATGGATATTTTTTTCTGTTATCGCTGAAGCACCCCTGTCAAACCGGACGATAAGAGCGGGATTACTAATGTTCCGGGCACGAGCCAGGTACACCAGCAGATCGCATATGCACGTCTAAAGTCAGGGCCTCAGATCGCATTGTTGCGAAAACTCACCCTCTTTATTCCATTTACGCCTTCCTTTTGATCCCCGCAGTTTCCAATCCTTTTTCTTTTCCGCACATCGACTTCCAATAACGGTTTTTGCTACTCGCGATACTGCGTCACTTTGCTCGTTGATTCTTTCGGCGCGCGACGCTTGCAAATATGGACGGAATGGATTATGACCCGATGGTGATGGATGGGGAGCCAGAGCAGCCCCAAGTGAAGATCTCTGCGGTATGAGAAGGCTCCCGAACCCTTTTTTCTTTCGGGGGACACTCAACTGATGTGATTTGATGCGACTCAGGCCGATCACACCCACGTCGATTTCGAGCTATCAAAGACGAACCTTGCTTTCGCCAATGCCGTGAGGCGAATTATTCAGGCAGAAGTGCCCACAATCGCCATTGACCTGGTCGAGATCGAGACAAACAGCTCCGTGCTGGCCGACGAGTTCATCGCCCACCGCCTGGGTCTGATTCCTCTCGATTCGAAAGGAGTTGACGAGCTCAACTACTCACGAGACTGTGACTGCGAGCAGTACTGCGAACAATGCAGCGTCACTCTGACACTGCACGCGAAGTGCACCTCCGACGAGATTATGAAGGTGTATGCGCGGGATCTAGTGGTGGATGGTCGTCATATGAATGGAGTGGGAAGCCCCGTGATCACAGATCCAGAGGGTTACGGCTGCTTGATCGCGAAGCTACGCAAGGGCCAAGAGTTGAAGATTAGCTGTATTGCCAAGAAGGGAATCGCAAAGGAGCACGCCAAGTGGATGCCTACATCTGCAGTTGGTTTTGAGTATGATCCTCATAACAAGCTGCACCACATTGACTGGTGGTTCGAAAATGACACGGACCCTGCTGTTGAATGGTGAGTTCTATGAACAAGTCCCAAGGTTATGGCTAACATCGTCCTCCAGGCCCAAGAGCAAATACGCTGAGTGGGAAGAGCCTCCTCAAGAAGGCGAACCTTTCGACTACGATGCAGTTCCAAACAGGTTCTACTTCGAGGTTGAAACGTCAGGGAGCATGGAACCTGACCAAATCGTGCAAAACGGTATCAGAGTTTTGCAACAAAAGATCGGTGGTCTTCTTAAGGGCCTAGACCCCAGGAAGTATGGCGGTGACGAAGCTGAGTTTGATGGTCCTCGAAGTCCCGATATGAACATGGACGGTGGTACCACGCCTTGGCAGGATGGAGGGTACACTACGCCTTATGGTGGTGGCGGCGGCCAGACGGCGTACGGAGGCGGCATGACAGCCTACGGAACAACACCGTATGGGGGATCTTCTTGGCAGTAAGGACCAGGGGCGTTTGATGGGTTATGCAATTCGTAATCAAGAAGGGTTTGGAGGTATAAATAGGGGGTGGTCTGGAAACTAGTAACAGTCTCGTAAAAAAAAGGCATAGCACGGACTTAGAATGGGATCTTTTTTTTTTCAGGAGACAAATCATGGTACGACGTATAACACTTGAGTGCTCTGAACAAGAATGCTGACTTTTATGCCCGCCTTTATCCTCCTCTATGTTGAGTATGTTTTCCAAACCAGGTTCCCACGCAAGAAGCTCGTATAAGGGATCTTGAGTAACAAAGCAGTAACGCCAACAGGATGATCACCGCTCTTGAATGACGAAACGACAAAACGACAACGCCAAAACATGCCCATCTTCCTGGTCTATCATGTCATGTCAAGTCTACAGGTTAGTATCCAAGCCCTTAACCTTGCGGTAGGCCTTTCGGTGCATCTCTAGGAAGACAAATGTACAAATAGTTTGTCTGAGAAAGCGTTAGGAGGGATTTGACACAGAGAAAGGAGGCACGTACGGTCCAAGTCGGAGGAAGCTGGGAACCCAGCCCTTGAACACCCACATAAGACCGTCAGTTCGGTGAATGTCGCGAATAAGGTGTAAGATGTTGTGATCATATGCTGAAGACATAACACGAGTCTTGATGACGTCGATAGGGCTTGTTACAGTAGCAGCGACTAGACCAGCGATGAACGAAGAAGTAAAGTGAGTCTTGAGGTTATCCTCCATGGGCGTATACTGGAGAAGCAAACTCTTTGAGACGTCGTAACTGGCAAGCTGACCAGCAGTCATGAACATGGCACGGCCACTGTTGGGCAACCATCCACGGAACATACTCTTAGGCCCTTCCTCACGCGCCATACGGACCATACCGTCAAAAGCATGGCGATAGTTTCGGCGCTCAGCAGGAGGAAGCGCAGCATCGTGTTGCATGCGCACGTTGAGAACATCGGCAAAGTTTCCAGCAATACCTCCTACGAAACCAGATCCAGCGGCCAGGGCAACGAGTGTCATGAAGGATGGATCGCGGCCTTCGTTACGGCGTGTAAGACGTGTCTTGACCTCTTCGTAGACGCCGAATCGTACGGTTGAATATGTCATCTGGCGCAAGAGAGAGGCGGATATACCGCTGTAAAGACCGAGAGGACCATCATGACGAAGAATGTGGACGAATGTGCCGACCATGTTCTTGGGCGCATTGCCTGTGCGCATTTGTAGACGAACCTAGAAGAGTGTAAGACTTTGATATACTGCCACGAGAAGTTGTGAAGAGTTACCTTGACTGTTCAATGTTAGCTGAATTTCGTCATATCTCGGGTTCGTAAAACGCACCAAGATCCAAAGGATGTGTAACGCAAGCTGCCATGCTACTGGCACTTCCACCAAACCAAAAGGGATATCTTATCGTCGTCTTCTTCGCATCAGCCGTCGCCTTTCCTGTCTTTACAGGCGCCGTCTCCGTCTTTTTGCTCATTGCTTCCTGACTGGTGGCCATGACGTGCGGTGGTTTTTTTCTAGTTTCACAAGCCAAAGCAAAAGACTGGGAAAAGGACGAGTTTAGCTTAGACTATCTAAAGTTAAGCTGCTCAATGTCGATCAACTGAAGGTTCCATAACTTGACTTGACTTGTCTTGTAAGTTAAGTTAGGCCAAGTTGAGATGAGAATGGAAGTGGATGATGTGGGAAGGTGAAAAAAGAAAAAGGTCGGTTAGCTATGATTACTACTACGGCAAGGGTTCACTTTTTTAAGTGCATGAGCCTCAGCTGTTGCTACCGACATCGCGGAAAGTTGTCAATTGGCCCGGTGTTTAGCTACTGTAACCGGACAATCGGAGCGGGATCGGCTGTCAAGTCGCCGAAGCGAAGCCAGGATAGCGCTAGATTAATGCTATCATTATGCGAGGCCGTTGGAGAAGAGCTGAAGTTGAAGTTAATTGTGAGTGAACTGGATTGGATTGCTTATATCCGGAGGAGCTGTAAGGCCGAACGCCGAACATTTTTGCAGTTTTGGTGATACAACCAACCAATCGTGGAACCACTCTCGGCGTTCGAGTATTTAATTTATTTACGATAAACCCATCAGCCATTGGCGCCTATTGCGTGGCCCGTTCGGCCTGTAATATAATTGTCGAGCTTCACAAGTCTTCAGAATGAGACTCTACGTCCAGGGCATGCGGTGCCTGAGGGCTTCTGCCCCGCGAACTGTCCAGCTTCCCCGGAGCTCCATTCTCCTACAAACAGCTTGCGCCGTGAGGACTTACTCGTCGGGTCGGTCTACTTCCAGTCCATCACTTGCATGGGCGTCTCGCTGACTGGTTCGGCCTTGTTGCAGCACCCTCGACGGGAACTCCAGGCTCCGTGACTATCCGCGGCCAGACCATCAAGACTGATCCTCAATGGTTCAACGTACCCGACAATGTCCTCGACGCCACTACAAGGAAACTTCACCTACTGAAAGACCATCCTGTGTCTATCACCCGCCAGATTATCCAGGCCAACTTCCCTGAGCCGACGTTCAAGTATCACAATGAGTTCAGCCCTGTGGTATCGACAGCTCAGAACTTCGATTCCCTAGGGTTTCCCGTGAATCATCCCGGTCGCGCCCTGTCCGACACATACTATTTGAATAGCGAGACACTACTGCGAACACATACAAGTGCTCACCAAGCCGACACATTCCGAGCTAACCAGAGCGCGGGGTACCTTGTGTCTGCCGATGTCTACAGACGAGATGCCATTGACCGCAGTCACTATCCTGTGTTCCATCAGATGGAGGGTGCAATGTCATGGGATCGTACTAAAGTTCCCAATGGTGATGTTGCTGCTGCGGTATGGAAGGACTTTGAGAAGCTGCCCGTTCATGGGGTCAAGGTCGATGACCCAAACCCTCCTATGCACCCAGAGACAAACCCTCTCCAAGATGCTCACCATACAGCTGCTGAGGCTGAGGCTATCGGTGCTCATCTCAAAAGGTCACTAGAAAACATGGTCGTCGATATCTTCTCCCGGGCTAAGGCTACTGCGATCAAAGATGACCCCAACTTCGTGGATGAGCCCCTGCAAATGCGATGGGTAGAAGCTTACTTCCCCTTTACCAGCCCCTCATGGGAGCTGGAGGTCTACTATGCCGGAGACTGGCTCGAGGTGCTGGGCTGTGGTGTTGTCAAGCAGGACATCTACATCAACGCTGGTGTGCCCAACCAACTGGGTTGGGCTTTTGGCATTGGTATTGATCGTATCGCCATGCTTCTCTTCAAGATCCCCGACATCCGCCTCTTCTGGTCAAAAGACAAGCGCTTTCTATCCCAGTTCGAGGGCGTGACCGACAATCTCGACAACCTGAAGCGCTTCGTCCCCTTCTCCAAGTATCCTCCCTGCCCCAAGGACGTGTCTTTCTGGCTTAGCTCCACGACAGCAGCAGGTGGCAACACCAAGGGCACATTCCACGAAAACGACGTTATGGAAATTGTCCGCAACGTGGCGGGTGACGTGGTCGAAGATGTACGCCTGATTGATGAGTTCACGCATCCCAAGACGGGCCGCAAGAGCATGGCGTATCGCATTGTTTACCGCAGCTTGGAGCGGACTCTGACTAACGATGAGGCCGTCGCTTTCCACGAGGATGTGCGCAAAGCTTTAGTCAAGGAGCTGGGCGTTGAGCTTCGATAGACTGGGTCAGAGCTAGGGTAGCTGAGCTGAAATAAACGTGTGGAGAAGCTGGAGCTCATGGGCCCAGCTCGACATGGCAGCTTGGACCCTTGATTGCCTTGAGCTAGTTGTGAGGCTGTATAAATCTGTAGGCTAGTCGCATCTGTATAGTATTTGCCGTATGAATCCATGAATCCATGAAAAGTCCGACGCTCACGGGCTTAGCTCTCCTCTGACGTCGTCAACCTGCACTATCACGAGCCCAGCTGCTGCGCCATTGTAGAATCACGGGCTTCATGTCCATCAACCAAGCCACGAATCAGGCGTGGTTATTGCAAATTGCAGGATTCATGAATGGCTTTGCTCGAGTGACGTTATTGTTGATCTGAGCCACGTCTGGTCCGGGCTCTGGGTTCCTTGCATGGATGAGCTGAACTGAGCTGCCTCCCGGCGGGGCGGTAATCGAGAACAGGGATGAGGCGGGTGGCTTGTGCGTTGTGGCGTTGCTGGTTTCGGAGGGCTTTAGGGATTTGGAGGCCGACGTGTTATTGAATTCCTTGGTGTCGGACAGAGGAGACTACCTATCTCTAGGTTCTGGTATTGGCATTGATGAGTCTAGATTCGGGATGGAGACTTTCAATTGGACTCCAGTTACATCTGCGAGAGATATCTGTCTGATTCGATCACCCAGCCTTCGGTCAGGAACTGTGGCCAATAGAGCGAGGTTTCTAGATATCCTCACATAACTGTCTTGTTATCTTGATTACAGAATATCACAACTTGTACCACCGATCAACCGATCTTTGGAGAGTCACCTCAGACCTCGCCTAAATTCCTTTATCGTGTTAATGTCTGGACTTCCAGATCGGGAAGGTATAGGAAGACTTTTCCACTCTAGTTGGTGTTGAGATAACTGCCCGTCCGAATATCCCTGCAAGGATTTCGATTTTGTATGTATGTCACTGGGTAAAGCAGGGGACAATTGTAAGGCTTGGCAAAATTGAGGTGTACTTAGTCTAAAGGCATCGATATGTTGGCATATTCTGGACCAATGTTGGCTTGAGGCGCATGGGTTTAGTTGATTCAGAGAACAGCCGTCAAGAACAGCATTGAATCGCATCTCGTGACTAGACAATACGACAAGCCGCCTCTTTCTCCCGTATCGGAATGTAGGCATTGCAAGAGTTGGCACAAGTGACGACATTGACGATAGTCTCACCAAGAGTTGGCCAAGGCCTCATCCACGAAACGATGCCCCGCACGGCATGGAGAGCTCCATATCCCGAGGCGAATTCCTTGAGTATGGGGTTGGACTAGACTATGCCGTCGGTTTCGGGACGACCCCAGTCTAGTAAAGAGGGCGGAGGTTTACCGCAATCTCGCCAAAAGATATAGCCACAAGACCAAAGCTGGAGGCAGTATAGAATATTGATACTAGCAGGAGGCGTTCCAGGCTTTTGTTGTATGGGCTTAGGCCTTAGGATCACACCTGAGAATCTCATCGTGTTCGGGAGGCTCGGACAAAAGAGGAATGAGCTCGCTCGAAGATTGGGATTCAAATTGTTGTTTCTCCTCTTGCACAGCCCCCTTGACCTTTGATGTTTTGAGAAGTGTCATCGGGTGTTTAAGAGCTGTGACTGGCTGAAGCTGATATGCCGTGGGGGATCCTCGCGTTTAGATACTTACCCAGGGAGTGTCTTGTTAACAGTTCAGTCGATAGGTATCTTGGGATATTCGTTATTGCGAACAGGACAGCACGCTTTTGGATGGACATAGTACATATTCGCCAAATACACGTTCTTCGCAGTGAATATTGATCTTCTATTGTGCAATCTCTTGTAACACCTGTTCATGGCAAAAAGTCTATCGAGGTTGAATGTCCGGGGTCAAAATGCAATACACTGCAGTAGCGCCATGCAGGTTTCCAGGGGGTGGGTGTGTCAAATTCATGGTTGGATCGATTCATGAGCGGTAAAACATTAGATGGCTTGGATGGAGTTTGAAGATGGCATTTCGAGACATACGATCAGACAAGCCAACCTTTGGTACAAGGGCTGTGATAGATTAACATGAACGACTCATCAGTTTCCGTAAAACGTTATTTTTGTCTGTTCTCAAGATGACAGTATGATTCGAGGATTTATAGACTTCCTGTTCTAAAAACATACAAACATGGAATACCTTGAATGGTAGCAAACTTGGTCAACCTGGTTCTGTGAGATACCTACCTTAGTCATGAGTCCGCAGGACCATCATTAGTCGAGACGGAGCAAGACAACACAAGACAAGGCAAGACAACAACTCTTTCTATGGAGCCAAAACAAACATGAGCCGAGATGGCATTGGCATTTCTTAACACAGCCCTCACAAATCTCCTCAACAGAAAAAAAAAAGGATACAAGGGCTTTGCTCGTTTTGACTGATCGCAGGAGGGAAAAAAGCTTAACGTTCTGGCCCGGACCAAATGGAATCGCCATCGCCAAAGCCGTCAAGGCCTCACTGGCCCAAAAGAGGCAAAATACTGGGGCCTTGCAGTGCACAGCCCCGAAACTCCATGAACAACAACCCCTGTGCGTCCGCTCGCTAGCCTTGTTAGGTTCTGTTCTGTACGTGCGTGCCCTGGCCACCCGACTGCACAAGACCAAGCAGCGAGTTCCCCAGCCGCCGGGAGGCTTAGTTGACTTGTCGTCGTGTTCCTGAGGCGGGAGGCGGCGCTTCCATTGGAAAGTGGAAAACCATAGAAATATAATAGACACCGACCTTCGCACTTTTTGTCTTAATCATTCAGCTCAACTCAGCAACACTCAGAAACACTCTAGAGAAACAACATTTCAACAGATACTCGATTCAAATATCAACAGATCGACAGGAACCCCTCGCAGATCTTGCACTGTTCACATCTCCATCTCTACCAAAATCATCCAGAGCCAGTTATCATAACTGCTCTTCAACCTCGCCTCTACATCCAATACACAACAACCACCTTCAAAATGGAGACCTCACCGCAACACTCCCGATCTTCCTCCTCCACTTCGCGCCGCTCAAACCTCACCCTCGACCTGTCTAACATTCCACCCATGACCCCGCCTACGCCTCCTTCAAACACCCTCCTCTTCACCAACCTCACCGACCCGGCCATCTTCCTCCCCGAGAACCTCCAGGTCATCCGCGACCTCATCACACACTCCGCACCCATTCACGCTTTTGCGCCGCTAAAATCCTTCCGCCGTATTGTCGTCTCCTTCTTCGACGAGCAGGCCGCTATCGCCGTTCGCCAAGTATGGGATAACGAGGCCGTCATGGGTCAACAGTGCCGAGTCTACTTTGGTATGCCCACACCTGTCGATAAGCGCGATGAGCACCTTGCTCTTCCTGATGCTGGCAAGCTCTTCTTCATCTCGCCACCACCTAGCCCTCCCCATGGCTGGGAGATGCGCCTCGAGGATGCGCCCAACAAGCTGGTCCACGCTGAGGATCTGGCTGATGCGCTTGCTAAGCTGCACCACAGCCCTGGACCTATGGATGAGAGCCAAGACTCACCTGTCACTCCTCCTGACTCTGCGCTGCCTGGCCGAACACGTTCGCGCTCCTCAACTCTCATCTACAAGCCTGAGGATGCGGCAAGCACCATGCCTGCCGTCATCGTCGACGACATGACGGATGAGCCCGAGGAAGTCAGCCCTGTGGAGCAGTCCAAGCCCATCTTGGCACACACTGCCCGACCTCCTGTCGAGCTTATGCACCATGCTTGAGCTTGTCGCTCGAATCTTTTCAGTCGTATTGTGAATTACTCTGGCGTTAAGGGTACGGATAACGGGAACTGGGGATCGGTGATGGCACGACTGAGCGGTCTGTCTACCTAGGTTTACAATGGAGCATTACATCCTCTTCAGCACGTGTTGTCGGAGTTGGTAAAATAAGTCTTTTGGGGTTATTATCACGGAAATGGCGGTAAATGTGCCACATATCGTTGGCTTTTACCTACTGGCGCAACTGTATAAAATAGCTAGTGGCTTAATACCAGTTCTGAAATCAGAATGATGACACACATATTGTTTTCAACCTCGCCTAAATGATTTGACTTCGATGACGACTTTTCCCAGCAAGTGATCAAAACACAATACTAATCAGCCCAGACGAGGCTTTGCTGCGCCAAGACAGCCGAGAGTAAATGGCGCGGTATATTCGATACGCCCACGAATCTGACGAGGCTCACCGCCGTAATAGCTCCAAGAATCGTGCCGACTAAGAGCACTGCCTTCCTCGAGATGGTCATACTCTTGGAGAAGTCCGCTGACGTTGTCCTTTCTGCCTCAAGGTCCTTGCGCACACCAAGTTCAGTGAGCATACCGAGGCGCGGGAGATACTGGAACTCAAAAGTGCTCGATTCACCGAGACCGCCCGCTTTATGATTGTGGATCATGAAATACGCAAAGTTTTTGAATCTCTGTTACACGGCGTCAGCCACAAGGTTCTCGGGTTCGTATTGACCGTGGATATAGGGGACGTGAGTGATGAATACGTACTTGTTCCTGTCGCTTCTGCATGTGAGTGGGCATCCAGGGGTAGCTATAGCTTATGAACAAGAGAATTGTGCATTGCATCCATACGACAAGCCGGGATCGCAAGTCAGGCTTTTCGATACCGAGTGCGCTGGCAAATTCCTCCCCGTTGAGTCTGTATGCGTGCGCGGCGAGTACCTCGCGAGGCATGTTTAGTGGCGGAGCTCGAGCTTCCGCTGTAAGAATATTGTTTGCGAGGATTTGGGAGTTTGCTGATGGAGCTACCTCAGATACTGCTATCGACTCCAGCATGGCTTTGGCTTGTTGTGGTGTAGCCATCCAGTCCACGGGTGTTCCAAGCAAATAACCAACATAACGCCATAAAGCGAGATAGTCTGCAGTCTGTTTCTCGGATAAGTATATACCCTGACGAGGAAGGGCCATATAGACAATGGCAGCTGAATACGCTGAAATAGTGGCGATTGTATGTAAGTCGTTGATAGGAACTCCCCATTTCTC